TGGGGAAAAAATGCCACACGTTTCATTAAAGAATTGGGATCCAGACTCATCGACACCACCAGGGACCCAAGGGCAGCCACTTTCATGTTCCAGCGCCTAAGCGTGGCCATCCAAAGGGGAAATGCTTGCTGCATACTTGGCTCGCGTTCAGCCTTGGAGGAGCCGGAGAAAATTCATGATCTTTGATACACTGTGCCATTGTATTCATGTTTATGTTTTTCTGTAAATGTATTCTGTTTCTTAATAAATGTTCACATAAAATATAAAATATAGGGGGTGGTAGGAGAAGAAAATATTTAAACAGCTCCGGGGAGAACCTTGAGTTTTCCCTGAAGTACGTATATTGTCTTCTCTGAGGATGAGGGTCCCCATTCCAGCTATTACCTGGAGTTTACCTGGAGAGAGTTCCGGGGGTCAACGCCCCCGCGGCCCGGTCTGTGACCAGGCCTCCTGGTGGATCAGAGCCTGATCAACCAGGCTGTTGCTGCTGGCTGCACGCAAACCAACGTACGAGCCACAGCCCGGCTGGTCAGGAACCGACTTTAGGTGCTTGTCCAGTTTCAGCTTGAAGACTGCCAGGGGTCTGTTGGTAATCCCCCTTATGTATGCTGGGAGGCAGTTGAACAGTCTCGGGCCCCTGACACTTATTGTATGGTCTCTTAACGTGCTAGTGACACCCCTGCTTTTCTTGGGGGGATGGTGCATCGTCTGCCAAGTCCCTTTGCTTTCGTAGTGAGTGATTTTCCGTGTGCAAGTTCGGTACTAGTCCCTCTAGGATTTTCCGGTGTATATAATCATGTATCTCTCCTGCATGCGTTCCAGGGAATACAGGTTTAGGAACCTAAGCGCTCCCAGTAATTGAGGTGTTTTATCTCCGTTATGCGAGCTGTGAAGGTTTTCTGTACATTTTCTAGGTCAGCAATTTCACCTGCCTTGAAAAGGTGCTGTTAGTGTGCAGCAATATTCCCCGCCTAGATAGAACAAGTGACCTGAAGAGTGTCATCATGGGCTTGGCCTCCCAGTTTTCAAAAGGTTCTATTATCCATTTCCCGTCATTTTTCTAGCAGATGCGATTGATACAATGTTATGGTCCTTGAAGGTGAGATCCTCCGGTGATATATATAAAATATATATATATATTATAAATATATATTTATATATATAATATATAATATAAAATATATATATATATATATATATATATGTATGTATATATATATATAATATTATATATATATATATTATATATATATATATATATTTTTATATATATATATATATATTATATATATATTATATATATATTTGGAGCGTGCACTTGCTATATTATTTTTTTCCAGCTTCCTCAGTCTTACTTTAGGGTCTCAGAACTTTGGGATTATATTCATTAATTTTTTATACCGTCTAAATTTGTTTAGAATTTAATAATAAAAATGATGATGATGATGATGATAATAAAAATAATAAAAAATAATAAAAATAATAAAAATAATAAATAATAATTATGTATTTAACTCTTGAAAATTAAGAACTTTACGGAACGTACGATGCTACAAGCATAGAACGTACAATTACATTTTGGAAGAATGTGTGGTTTTTTGTGAAAGGTAGGTGTATGTGTGTGTGTGTATGTGTGTGTTGTGTTGTGTATTGTGTGGTGTGTGTGTGTGTTGGGGTGGTTTTTGTATGGTGTATGTGTGTGGTGTTGTGTTACTCACCTGGGTTGGGTTGGGGGGGCGAGTCCGAGCTCCGGGCCCCCGCCTTTTCCTGTCGCTATGGGTCACTCTCCCTGGGCCGTGGCTTTATCTACCCTGCTTAAAGTATTTTATGGACCCGCCTCCACTACATCGCTTCCCAAACTTTTTCCATTACTGATACTCTGTGGGCTGAAGAAATACTTCCAAAACATCCCTGTGATTCATCTGTGTCTTCAGCTTCCCAACTGTGTCCCCTTGTTTACTGTGTCCAATCTCTGGAGCATCCTGTCTTTGTCCCCCTTGAAAATTTCCTCTCATATTTTGTATTCGTTATCTGTCCCCCCTATCTCTCCTTCCCCTTGTCGTCAGGTTGTTTTCCCCTTAACCCTCTCCTCGAGGACTCCCTCTTTGTTTGGGGGACTAGTCTTGTTGAAAACCTTTGCACTTTCTTATTTTTTTCCGTGTTGGGGCTGGGGGGGTTCCAAATGTGCCGTTACCCCAATAGGGGCCTAACGTACAGGGGTTACGGGGGCCCTAAATGTTTCCCCTTTTTAAGATGCCGGAATGCTGTTTCTGGGGTTTTGCTAGGGCCCATATGCTGCAGCGTTATTTTTTTGATGTGCGTTCAGGAATGTGCCCCGGTTTTAAAACCCCCCCAAGATTTTTTTTCCCTTGAGTGAGGGTTGTATTTTCCTCCCCCCCTGATTACTCCGTCTGGGGTCTTCTTTGCCCTTCCCCAATCTTCATACTTTGCACTTGGTGGGTTTGAACTTAGGACAATTCTGGACCAGGTCTCCACCTGTCCAGACCCCTTTGTAGTTCTGCCGGGTCTTCCATCGAATGAATTCTTTCATCAATTTCACGTATCGCAAACGGGACACTCAGAGTTTTTTCCCTTTTCTGTCAATCGTTCAAAATACCAGAACAGCACTGGTCCTAGGCTGCCCCCGGGGGGACCCCGTGGTAAAGGGTGCCCATTCTGACACCTCCCCACTTTCCTTACTCCTGCTGTCTTCCTGACAAATATTCCTGTCCATTCCCTTTTTCCCCTGTTGGTCCTCGATTTTTTTGCACAAATCTCTTGTTGTACTGTGTCAAAAGCCTTTTTGCAGTCCAAGAAAAGCAACCCCCCACCCCCCTCTTCTTGTCTTATGCTGTCACCTTGTCATAGAACTCCAGTAGGTTTGGACAAAGAATTTCCTGTCCCCCGAAAACCTGTTGGGGTGTTGATGAAATTCCTTTTTTAGGTGTTCCACCACTCTTCTCCTGCAATCTTCTCCTGACTTTTCATACTATAAGCAGTTGACACTGGTCTTAGTTTAGTGCTTCTGTCTGTCTGCTTTTTTAAAGATTGGGAAAATACATTTGCTGTTTTCCTGCCTCAGGCATCTCCCTGTTTCGATAGATGTATTGAATTTGTTGTTAAGGGTCAATGCGCCTCTGCTCCCTTTCGGGCCCATGGGAGTGTTATTTGGCCCCTTGCCTTTGAGGGGTCTAGCTCATCAGAAGCCTCTTTACTTCTTCCCCGGTTGTGTGTACCCTGTCAGCACCTGGTGATGTGCCACACCTCTCCGTCCTCTGGGCCCCCTTCTGTCCCTCTTGAAAAACCTTGTTTGAATCTCTTGTTTGGGTTTCCTCACATACTTCCGGTCTTTCTTGTTTGTCCTCCTCCTTCCCTTTTTAGCCGTTTACCCGGGCCTTGATGTTGTTTTCCTCCTGATGTGGCTGTATAACGCTTTTGGGGCAGATTTGGTTTCGCTGCTATGTGTTTTTTATATTGTCGTTGGACCTCCCTTTTATCTGTGCTATTCTTTTGGGTTTCGACTGCTCTCCTTATTTTCCTGGGTCCTTTGCCCTTCTTTTTTTTTTCTTCCCTAGCACACTTGGTTTTTGCCTCCTTGCCCTTTGGGTGAAACAATGGGTATCCTGGGTTTTTCATTATTCCGTTTCCCTTGGGTACAAACCTTTTCAGCCTCCTTGCCAAAATTTTTGCTACTATTCCATATTATTAATGGGTTCCCTTCCCTTCTCTGTCCCATTTAACCTCGTTCAGGAAGTTCCTCATTCCCGTGTATCCCCTTTCCTGTGTTTGGTTTCATTTTTCCCGGCCTTCCTGTTCCCCCTCCACTTGGGAGCTCCGTGTATTCGAAGCTCAAAAAAACCCCATGATCGCTGGCCCCAAGGGGCTTTTATGTGATGTCCTCAATACTGCAGCTCGGTGAATATAAATCCAGTCTTGTGGCTCATCCTCTCCTCTCTTCTTGTAGTGTCCCCCTTACGTGTGGTACATGAAATTTTCCAGTACCCACCTCCATCATCTTTGCCCCCTGTATCTTTGGCCCCCATGTGGCCCAAGTTCTCCCTTCGATCTCCTTGTGGTTAAAAGGGCGCCATGTCAGGGCTTTGCCCCGCATGCATGACTCTTTGGCCACTGAAGCCAGTGTGTCAACCCTCGCTCATTCTCTCGTCTACTCTGCCCTGGTCTCCGCTGTTTGTGGGGGGTTTACTCACTGAGTCACAAAATTCCATCGGGGGTTTTATCAGCGGTGCCCCTCCCCCACCCCCTTCCCCCGTTCCCTTTTCTTTCCTCAGGGGTCTGGTATCCCGTTGGAAAGTGGCATCTTTATCTACCTGTAAGCTTGGTTTCTGGGCGCTATGATTCCGGGATGTCTCTTTGGCTCTTTCGTGCCACTCCTCCCCCTTGTTTGTAATTCCATCAGCGTTTTTGTACCATACCTTCAGTTTCCTTTCCAATACTGTGGTTTGGGGGGCCTGTGGGGGTGGGAGACCTGGTAGCATACTGTGGGATTCTATGATTGGGGGTTGGATGGAAGCTGTGTGGTGTGTGTGTGGTGTGTGTGTGTGGTGTGTGTGTGTGGTGTGTGCGTGTGTGTGTGTGTGTGTGTGTGTGTGTGTGTGTGTGTGTGTGTGGTGTGTGGTGTGTGTGTGTGTGTGTGTGTGTGTGTGTGTGTGTGTGTGTGTGTGTGTGTGTGGTGTGTGTGGTGTGTGTGTGTGTGGTGTGTGTGTGTGGTGTGTGTGGTGTGTGTGTGGTGTGTGTGTGTGGTTGTGGTGTGTGTGTGGTTGTGTGTGTGTGTGTTTGTGTGTGTGTGTGTGTGTGTGTGTGTGTGTGTGTGTGTGTGGTGTGTGTGTGTGTGTGTGTGTGTGTGTGTGTGTGTGTGTGTGTGGTGTGTGTGGTGTGTTTTGCTGGGAAACGGAAAATTTGCAATGTTAAAGAGACAAAGTTTGGCGACGTATAATGAAGGTGCTGTGTTGCAGGTGTTACAGGCATTGCATGTGTTGCAGGTGTTGCAGGAGGGCAACGTGAGCAGGTCGACGCTGCACCTCACCCCTAGCAGGAGGGAGGACGGAGCCATCATCTCCTGCAGAGCTGAGAATCCTTTGGTGCTGGCAGCCTCCGCTCTGGAGGACTCCCGCAGGATCAGCGTTTACTGTGAGTGTTGAGCGATCCTTCATTCTCTCTCTCTCTCTCTCTCTCTCTCTCTCTCTCTCTCTCCTCTCTCTCTCTCTCTCCTCTCTCTCTCTCACTCTCTCTCTCTCTCTCTATCTATCAATCTATCTATCTATCTATCTATCTATCTATCTATCTATTTATCTATCTATCTGTTTACGTTTCTTATCATTTATAGAAATAAACAGCATTGCCTATACGTTTCCTACACTTCTCTTCCATTTTACAGCTTATTTTGAGAACAGAATTATTTCCTAAAGCTATCTACTAGTGTTGTACAAGTGTGTTACTCACGCTCGATCTTCACACATAAAACAAGTTCCTATGACACACTTACATACACAGTTTAAAGTGAATTGATATAAATCTATTGAGATCGATCATCTAGCAAATATAAGACAGGAAAACTTATCATCCAACTCTGAAACAACGGAGGGAAAATAGACAGCTGCTCTACTGCTGTAGGAAAGTCAGACGGGAGACAAATAACCACTAGTTCAACTTTTGTTTGTTATAACACAGAAAACTTACGTTCCAGTTTTGGAGTGTTAAATGAGAGACAGAATAAATTACAACTCTGGAATATCTTCTTTGGGGGAAAAAAAAGAGAATATTCCACAGAAAAACAAGAAAAAAAAAGTGCGGAAAAAATAGAAATCGGAAGGGAATGCAATTCCTTTACAGTTAAATTTGGTCAGATTCACTTCAGCGTGAATAAAAGAGGCTTTCTTGTGGAGCATTGGCTTGTGTGTGTGCTCACCTATCTGTGGTTGCAGGGGTCGATTCACAGCTTCTGACCCCGCCTCTTCGCTGATCGGTAGTGGGTCCACTTTCTCTCCTTCCTCCAAGAGCTTTATCGTACTTCATTTTATAGCTATGTACGGATCCTGCCTCCACTACATCACTCTTCAGATTGTTTCACTTCCTGACAACTCTGAGTGAATAAATACTTCTTAACATCTCTGTGACTTCTCTGAGTTTTTAACTTCCAGTTATGACCCCTTGTTGCTGTGGGCCCATCTCTGAAAATATCTGTCCCTGTCCACCGTGTGTGTGTGTGTTTGTGTGTGTGTGTGTTGTGTGTGTGTGTGTGTGTGTGTGTGTGTGTGTGTGTGTGTGTGTGTGTGTGTGTGTGTGTGTGTGTGGTGTGTGTTTTGTGTGTGTGTGTTTTGTGTGTGTGTGTGCTTGTTTTTTTTGTGTGTGTGTGTGTGTTTTTGTTTGTGTGTGTGTGTGTTTGTTTGTTTGTGTGTGTGTGTTTTGCTTGTTTGTTTGTGCGTGTGTGTGTTTGCTTGCGTGTGTGTGTGTGTTTGTTTGTGTGTGTGTGTTTTTTGTATGTGTGTGTGTGTTTGTGTGTTTTGTGTGTGTGTGTGTGTGTTTGTTTGTGTGTGTGCTCACCTAATTGTGCTCACCTAATTGTGGTTGCAGGGGTCGATACTCAGCTCCTGGCCCCGCCTCTTCACTGATCGCTACTGGATCCTCTCTTTCTCTGCTTCCTGAGCTTTGTCATACCTCTTCTTAAAACTATGTATGGTTCCTGCCTCCACTACTTCACTTGCTAGGCTATTCCACTTGCTGACAACTCTATGACTGAAGAAATACTTCCTAACGTCCCTGTGACTCGTCTGAGTCTTCAGCTTCCAGTTGTGACCCCTTGTCCCTGTGTCCCCTCTCTGGAACATCCTATCTCTGTCCCCTTGTCTATTCCCCGGCAGTATCTTGTATGTCGTTATCATGTCTCCCCTGACCCTTCTGTCCTCCAGTGTCGTCAGTCCGATTTCCCTTAACCTTTCCTCGTACGACATTCCTTGAGCTCTGGGACTAGCCTTGTTGCAAACCTTTGTACTTTCTCTAACTTCTTGACGTGCTTGACCAGGTGTGGGTTCCAGACTGGTGCTGCATACTCCAGTATGGGCCTAACATACACAGTGTACAGTGTCTTGAACGATTCCTTATTAAGGTATCGGAACGCTATTCTCAGGTTTGCCAGGCGCCCGTATGCTGCAGCGGTTATTTGGTTGATGTGTGCCTCCGGTGATGTGCTCTGTGTTATGGTCACCCCAAGGTCTTTCTCCCCTGAGTGAGGTCTGTATCTTTGTCCACCTAGCCTATACTCTGTCTGCGGTCTTCTTTGCCCCTCCCCAATCTTCATGACTTTGCATTTGGCTGGATTGAATTCGAGAAGCCAGTTACTGGACCACATGTCCAGCCTCTCCAGGTCTCTTTGCAGTTTCCCGCCTCATCCTCGTCCGATTTAAATTCTTCGCATCAACTTCACGTCATCTGCGAACAGGGACACTTCAGAGTCTATTCCTTCCATCATGTCGTTCACATATATCAAAAATAGCACTGGTCCTAGAACTGACCCCTTTGGGACCCCGCTCGTAACAGGCCCCACTGTGATACCTCTTCACGTACCATGACTCGTTGCTGCCTCCCTGTCAGGTATTCCCTTATCCATTGCAGTGCCCTTCCTTTTACGTGTGCCTGATCCTCCAGCTTCTGCACTAATCTCTTGTGGGGAACTGTGTCAAAGGCCTTCCTGCAGTCTAGGAAAACGCAATCTACCCAACCCTCTCTCTCATGTCTTACTTCTGTTACCTTGTCATAAAACTCCAGGAGGTTTGTGATACAAGATTTGCCTTCCATGAACCCATGCTGGTTTTCATTTATAATCTTGTTCCTTTCCAGGTGTTCAAACCACTCTCCTCCTGATAATCTTCTCCATGACTTTGCACACAATACATGTCAGAGACACAGGTCTGTAGTTTAGTGCCTCGTTTCTGTTTCCTTTCTTAAAATATGGGGACTTACATTAGCTGTCTTCCATTTCTCAGGTAGTTGCCCAGTTTCAAGGGATGTGTTGAAGATTGTGGTTAGAGGCACACACAGCATCTCTGCTCCTTCTCTAAGGACCCATGGGGAGATGTTGTCCGGTCCCATCGCCTTTGAGGTGTCAAGGTCACTTAAGAGCTTCTTCACCTCCTCCTCAGTTGTTGTATGTCATCCAACACTTGTTGGTATATTCCCTTGATGTTCCCTTCTGTTCTGTCTTCCCACAGCCCTTCCTGTCTCTACTGTAAAAACTTCCTTAAATCTCCTGTTCAGCTCCTCACATACCTCCTGATCATTTCTTGTGAGTTCTCCACCTTCTGTCCTTAATCTGATCACCTGGTCTTTGACTGTTGTCTTCCTCCTGATGTGGCTATACAACAGTTTCGGGTCTGTCTTGATTCTCGATGCTATGTCATTTTCATACTGTCGCTGGGCCTCCCTCCTTACCTGTGCGTACTCATTCCTGGCTCTGCGACTGTGTCTGTGTGTGTCTGTGTGTTTGTTTGTGTGTGTGTGTTTGTTTGTATGTGTGTGTGTGTTTTTTTTGTGTGTGTGTGTGTGTGTGTGTGTGTGTGTGTGTGTGTGTGTGTGTGTGTGTGTGTGTGTGTGTGTGTGTGTGTGTGTTGTGTGTTTTTGTGTGTGTGTGTGTGTGTGTGTGTGTGTGTGTGTTTTGTGTGTGTGTGTGTGTGTGTGTGTGTGTGTGTTGTGTGTGTGTGTGTGGTTTGTTTGTGTGTGTGTGTGTGTGTGTGTGTGTGTGTGTGTGGTGTGTGTGTGTGTTTGTGTGTGTTTGCACAGTAGACAGAGTTACTGTTTGAACAAGTTAGAAGGTTTTATTATGAATGCGAATGGGAGAGAAAGAGATACAAAAATAGAGAGAGAGAGAATGAATTATATTGTAAACTAACCCACATCATTCTTCTCCCCTCTTCTCTATTTCTTTCACGCAGACTGCCCCTCTCTCACAGCCCCTCAATCTCTCTCCCAGTTTCTCTCTCTGTCTCACTCTGTCCGTCTGTCTGCCTCTTTCTTTTCTCTCTCTCTCTCTCTCTCTCTCTCTCTCCTCTCTCTCTCTCTCTCTCTCTCTCTCTCTCTCTCTCTCTCTCTCTCTCTCTCTCTCTCTCTCTCTCTCTCTCCTCTCTCTCTCTCTCTCTCTCTTCTCGCACACTCTCCCAGTCTCTCACTCTCTCCGTCTCTCCCACAGACTCTCCCCGGCTGCGCCTCCGCCCGGGTAGAAACATGGACATGAACAAGATAAGAGAAGGAGACGATGTTTACTTCGACTGTCACATCGAAGCCAATCCTCGTTCCCTCGACGTCCTGTGGTTCCTTAATGTTAGTGCTACATCAATGTTAGTACTGCATCAATATTAGTACTGCATCAATGTTAGTACTGCATCAATGGTAGCATTACATCAATATTAGTATTACATCAATGTTAGTACTACATCAATGTTAGTACTACATTAATATTAGTACCCCATCAATGTTAGTACTACATCAATGTTAGTACTACATCAATGTTAGTACTACATCAGTGTTAGTACTACATCAATGTTAGTACTACATCAATGTTAGTACTACATCAATGTTAGTACTACATCAGTGTTAGTACTACATCAATGTTAGTACTGCATCAATGTTAGTACTACATCAATGTTAGTACTACATCAATGTTAGTACTACATCAATGGTAGTACTACATCAATGGTAGTACTACATTAATGTTAGTACTACATCAATGTTAGTACTGCATCAATGTTAGTACTACATCAATATTAGTACTACATCACTGTTAGTACTACATCAGTGTTAGTACTGCATCAACGTTAGTACTACATCAATGTTAGTACTACATCAATGTTAGTACTACATCAGTGTTAGTACTGCATCAATGTTAGTACTACATCAATGTTAGTACTACATCAATGTTAGTACTGCATCAATGTTAGTACTACATCAATGTTAGTACTACATCAGTGTTAGTACTGCATCAATGCTAGTACTACATCAATGTTAGTACTGCATCAATGTTAGTACTACATCAGTGTTAGTACTACATCAATGTTAGTACTACATCAGCGTTAGTACTTCATCAATGTTAGTATTGCATCAATGTTAGTACTACATCAGTGTTAGTACTACATCAATGTTAGTACTACATCAGCGTTAATACTTCATCAATGTCAGTATTGCATCAATGTTAGTACTACATCAGTGTTAGTACTACATCAATGTTAGTACTACATCAGTGTTAGTACTACATCAATGTTAGTACTACATCAATGTTAGTACTACATCAGTGTTAGTACTACATCAATGTTAGTACTACATCAGTGTTAGTACTACATCAATGTTAGTATTGCATCATTGTTAGTACTACATCAGTGTTAGTACTACATCAGTGTTAGTACTACATCAGTGTTAGTACTACATCAATGTTAGTACTACATTCAATGTTAGTACTACATCAATGTTAGTACTACATCAGGGTTAGTACTACATCAGTGTTAGTACTACATCAATGTTAGTACTACATCAATGTTAGTACTACATCAATGTTAGTACTACATCAGTGTTAGTGCTACATCAATGTTAGTACTACATCAATGTTAGTACTACATCAGTGTTAGTACTACATCAGTGTTAGTACTACATCAATGTTAGTACTACATCAGTGTTAGTGCTACATCAATGTTAGTACTACATCAATTTTTAGTACTACATCAGTGTTAGTACTACATCAATGTTAGTACTACATCAATGTTAGTACTACATCAGGGTTAGTACTACATCAATGTTAGTACTACATCAATGTTAGTACTACATCAATGTTAGTACTACATCAGGGTTTAGTACTACATTTAGTGTAGTACTACATCAATGTTAGTACTACATCAATGTTAGTACTACATCAATGTTAGTACTACATCAGTGTTAGTACTACATCAATGTTAGTACTACATCAATGTTAGTACTACATCAGGGTTAGTACTACATCAGTGTTAGTACTACATCAATGTTAGTACTACATCAGGGTTAGTACTACATCAGTGTTAGTACTACATCAATGTTAGTACTACATCAGTGTTAGTACTACATCAGTGTTAGTACTACATCAATGTTAGTACTACATCAATGTTAGTACTACATCAGTGTTAGTACTACATCAATGTTAGTACTACATCAATGTTAGTACTACATCAGTGTTAGTACTACATCAATGTTAGTACTACATCAAATGTTAGTACTACATCAATGTTAGTACTACATCAATGTTAGTACTACATCAATGTTAGTACTACATCGGTGTTAGTACTACATCAATGTTAGTACTACATCAGTGTTAGTACCCCATCAGTCTTAGTACTACATCAATGTTAGTACTACATCAATGTTAGTACTACATCAATGTTAGTACTACATCAATGTTAGTACTACATCGGTGTTAGTACCCTATCAGTCTTAGTACTGCATCAATGTTAGTACTACATCAATGTTAGTACTACATCAATGTTAGTACTACATCAATGTTAGTACTACATCGGTGTTAGTACCCCATCAGTCTTAGTACTACATCAGTGTTAGTACTACATCAATGTTAGTACTACATCAATGTTAGTACTACATCAATGTTAGTACTACATCAGTGTTAGTACTACATCAATGTTAGTACTACATCAATGTTAGTACTACATCAGAGTTAGTACCCCATCAGTCTTAGTACTACATCAATGTTAGTACTACATCAATGTTAGTACTACATCAATGTTAGTACTACATCAATGTTAGTACTACATCAGTGTTAGTACTACATCAATGTTAGTACTACATCAGGGTTAGTACTACATCAGAGTTAGTACCCCATCAGTCTTAGTACTACATCAATGTTAGTACTACATCAATGTTAGTACTACATCAATGTTAGTACTACATCAATGTTAGTACTACATCAATGTTAGTACTACATTAATGTTAGTACTGCATCAATGTTAGTACTACATCAATGTTAGTACTACATCAATGTTAGTACTACATTAATGTTAGTACTGCATCAATGTTAGTACTACAGTAATGTTAGTACTGCATCAATGTTAGTACTACATCAATGTTAGTACTACTCAAAGTTAGTACTACATCAATGTTAGTACTACATCAGTGTTAGTACTACATCAATGTTAGTACTACATCAATGTTAGTACTACATTAATGTTAGTACTGCATCAATGTTAGTACTACATCAATGTTAGTACTACATCAATGTTAGTACTACATCAATGTTAGTACTACATCAGTGTTAGTACTACATCAATGTTAGTATATTCACAATGTTAGTAATTTCATCAATGTTAGTTCTACATTAATGTTAGTACTGCATCAATGTCAGTACTACATCAATGTTAGTACTACATCAATGTTAGTACTACATCAATGTTAGTACTACATCAGTGTTAGTACTACATCAATGTTAGTACTACATCAGTGTTAGTACTACATCAATGTTAGTACTGCATCAATGTTAGTACTACATCAATGTTAGTACTACATCAATGTTAGTACTACATCAATGTTAGTACTACATCAATGTTAGTACTACATCAATGTTAGTACTACATCAGTGTTAGTACTACATCAATGTTAGTACTACATCAATGTTAGTACTACAGCAATGTTAGTACTACATCAATGTTAGTACTACATCAATGTTAGTACTACATCAATGTTAGTGCTACATTAATGTTAGTACTGCATCAATGTTAGTACTACATCAATGTTAATACTACATCAGTGTTAGTACTATATCAATGTTAGTACTACATCAATGTTAGTACTACATCAATGTTAGTACTACATCAATGTTAGTACTGCATCAATGTTAGTACTACATTAAAGTTAGTACTACATCAGTGTTAGTACTACATCAATGTTAGTACTACATCAATGTTGGTACTACATCAGTGTTAGTGCTACATCAATGTTAGTACTGCATCAATGTTAGTACTACATCAATGTTATTACTACATCAATGTTAGTACTACATTAATGTTAGTACTACATCAGTGTTAGTACTACATCAATGTTAGTACTACATCAATGTTAGTACTACATCAGTGTTAGTGCTACATCAATGTTAGTACTGCATCAATGTTAGTACTACATCAGTGTTAGTACTACATCAGTGTTAGTACTACATCAATGTTAGTACTACATCAATGTTAGTACTACATCAATGTTAGTACTGCATCAATGTTAGTACTACATCAATGTTAGTACTACATCAGTGTTATTACTACATCAATGTTAGTACTACATCAATGTTAGTACTACATCAATGTTAGTACTACAGCAATGTTAGTACTACATCAATGTTAGTACTACATCAGTGTTAGTACTACATCAATGTTAGTACTACATCAGTGTCAGTACCCCATCAATGTTAGTACTACATCAGTGTTGTTAGTACTGCATTAACATTGCTATTAACACTTCTCTGTTGCTATTACTACATCAATGTTAGGCACAATATCTCTGTCTGTCTGTCTGTCTGTCTCTCTCTCTCTCTCTGACTACGTTATCTGATGATCGACAGCTAGTACTTGCTTACAGGGAGAGGAGCTCCAGCAGAACGTGTCTGCAGGAGTCATTCAGAGTAACCAGAGTCTTGTCCTTCAAGGTGTTACTCGACGCTCAACTGGCCTCTACAGCTGCTCCGCCTCCAATCTCCAGGGCTCTGCAACCTCCAATAACCTTAAGCTTAGTGTCAAGTGTAAGTGTTATATATATATATATATATATATTATATATATATATATATATATATATATATATATATATATATATATATATATATATATATATATATATATGTATACTATATATATATATATATATATATATATATATATATATATATATATATATATATATATATATATATATATATATATATATATATATATATATATAAAATATATATATATATATATATATATATATATATATATATATATATATGTATATATATATATATATACATTATTGTACCCAATAACAACACTGCGACTAGCCAAGGAGTCGAACCCATGCTGCTTTGGCTCGCCTAATGGTGAGCGAAATCTGATGACGCTCTAGTCTACGAAACCACACAATCCGAGCATTGTGTGGTTCCGTGGACTAGAGCGTCATGAGATTTTGCTCACCATTAGGCGGGCCAAAGCAATATGGGTTCGACTCCTTGGCTAGTCGCAGTGTTGTTATTGATATGTGTGTGTGTGTGTGTGTGTGTGTGTGTGTGTGCGTGTGTGTTTGTGTGTGTGGTATAGGTGATTCAGTTTTTTATTCACTTGGTAAATAATTGTTTCCTTGTTTGATGTCATTCTAACAAAGTTCGTTCGTAAAGCTAAAATTTTCTAGTTATCAAATGTGTTATATTGTCAAGCTATTCTTTTGTTATTATAAAAGACTTATGGAACTCTCCCTCTGGTTGGCATTACAGTCCACCTGGAGGAAAATGGAACGTATTATAAGAAGCATCGGAACTTTTTACTTTACCGTGAAGGAAGGAGACTCTGGGGATTTTAACTTGCGTTGTGCGGATTCTAGCAACGAGCCACATTATTTTATTAATATTTTCTATGATTATTGGACGGAGGATCGAGCCTTTAGTGTTAGCATGCGTGTCTGGTGACCGTATGATTCCGGTTTGAATCCCATATTCCTCCTTCTTAGTAAATTTTCAAACATGTATTCACAAATTCTGTAATTGTTCTGACTGTGTGATTGGGGGGGGTGGGGGTTCTAGTTTCTCCTGTGTGCTCGCTTGGCCAGAAGTGGGTGTACGGGGGCAGCCGTCAACAGGCTGTCAACGTCAGCTGTCAGGTGGAGTCCTACCCGGAGGCTCGCAGTTTCCGCTGGGCCTTCAACACCTCTACGGATTACGTGGAGATCCCTGACGAGTTGATTGAGGTGTGGGGAGGCGGGAGCATGGTCACCTATACGCCACAGACACATCACGACTTCGGCTCCCTGCTGTGCTGGGGACGCAACGAAGTAGACGCCCAGCGTGTGCCCTGTGTCTTCCACGTCGTCCCAGCAGGTCTGTGTCACCTGTTCACCTGTTCATCACCAGCCAGGAATACTTAAACCTTCAAAGACGGGCTTAAAGTAAACTCTTAGTGTATGTCAGTAAAACACAATGTGGGTTATGGCATTTTATTGTGAAGACGTTTCGGCTACCAGGGACTTTATCAGCTCACACTAAGAACAAAAACATTGGTATTTAAGGTTAGAGAGGGGTCCTGAGGCAAAAGAATGAAATTATGAAGCCACGTATGAGTTGCCAACCCAGTAAGTGAAGTTTGGTGATCTCAGTATCAGGTGCTAAGAAAACAAGTCTTGATAAAGCATCGTAGATTGTGAATGATTCTGAGTTTAGGTTGATGATTTTGGGAGTGGTTATTACTGCGGATTCTCAACGTAATCTGGTGTGACGGTCATTTATGCGACTGCTCAGGATTCGCAGTAACAGCCACAGCTAATACCATTAGTCAAACCACAAGATTATTCAGTCTCCGAAGTTTTATCGAAGCTAATTTTCCCGGTATCTGATACTGCGATCATAGAACCTCACTGGGCTGGCTACTCTCATGTGTCTTAACTTCATTCTCTTACCTTAGGACCTCATGTCTTGTCCTGTGTGAACTGATAGTCACTGGTGAACGTAACGTACTTATGTATGGTTTTGTATCGTTCTGTAACGGAGACGCGATGACGCCCAGAAATGTTTCTGAACTCCCAGGTCCTTTTTATTTAAGGTTTTTTGTTGCGTCACCTTTCTTTACTTGACTTTCTTAGACTGTTAACACAGTTGGGTTACAGGTATATTATTATTATTATTATTATTATTATTATTATTATTATTATTATTATTATTATTATTATTATTTAGGAGTAATAGGCTCGTAACCCTTTCTCCTGTATAAATTACTAAATATAAAATAAGAAAAACTTTCATTTCTTCTTTTTCGGGTTACACTGCCTGTGTGTTAAAAAATATTATTATTACATTCGCGGGGAAGCGCTAAACTCTTAAGGATCATAGAGCAACTGTGGAATGGTATTAAATCAAATCTGATCCCAGACAGACAATATATACAGTACACTGTGAGAAGCTCTCATCTATTTTGCATGACTGATTATCTGCCTACAGTCTCCCAAACTACCCAGAACTGCTCTTTGAACTCCTACACGTACACCTGGAATATAATACAAATAAATACGTAAATGCTTCAGTGTGTTTAATCAGTCTACAAGCGTGTGTACACTCATCCCACAGGTGTTCCCGAACCCGTGAACAACTGCAGTGCTTGGCACAACGTCAGCGCCGCCGGCCAAGTAGTGGTGGCCTGCCTGGCCGGCTGGGGCGGCGGACTCGCCCAGACCTTCACACTTGAGGTTCGCCAGGGACCCTCGAGCTCTCAGGGGGTCGAGGACCCGTCCTCTTCTGCCCCAGGGACGGTCCTGGCTGCCCTGAGGCACCAACCTGAGCCTCACTTCACCGTGATGGGTCTCACTCCTGGGAAGGAGTATTACCTGGCGGTGATAGCATCGAACTCACAGGGATCAGCGCCCCCGACCGTCCTGGTCCACCTGACCCCCATCGACGTCGCAGAGAAGCGTACTAGCGCAGTCGTGGCTGAGGCGTCCTCTGGGGGCGAGCTGGAGAAAGTCATGCCAGTTATGGGCGTGGTGTTGGGCGTCTTAACGGGCGTATTACTATGTGGAGTGGCTCTCGTGGTGGGCGTGCGTGCTCGAGCCTGGCACGCGAGAGCTCACGCCCACGCCCTCACCAGAATCGTGTACAACGAAGCCTCTAAGGCTGGAGACGACGGAGGTTTTAAACAACAGCAACAGCAAACAAGACCTGACATTATCCTGGTGAAGGAAGGTAAGTTAATGGAACACACGAAGATACATAAAGGCAGACAGACACAATCTCTACAGATCGACAGATACACAACAAAACAGAGATACACGACAGAAACAAAACAATCTTCACTACAGACAGAAGGAAAACTAGAGTTTCCATCACAGACATAACAAACAACTCAACGCAGTTATAACTAAATATAATCACCTGGTTAGTTCATTACCAGTTCTTACAGATTATTTCCGATTATTAAATGTAACAACTCTGCTATATTTTTTTTTCCATCATAACAAGATCCAAAAGTTAGTTATCTATTAACACGTGAGATATATACACTTTTCCATGCGCAACACTTTGGTATCTTAGTTCTAGAACATTTTTCGTACACAGTAAGTGTACACCTCATGGAACTGAACACTTTTTGAGGCTGTGGGACTGATCACGTCATCCTTTACCTCACCACTGCTTCCGTTATCTCTAATTTTCTTCACCTATGTATTCGGCTGAAGACGCCTATGTGTAAATGAAACATTTCCGAAATAAAAATCCCAAGGTGTTGGACATGTGTCTTATTCATCAGTATGTTTTCCATGGTAAACTGAGAGCCAAGAACATTATCGGCAGCTCTTCAAAGGGACAGACAGGTAGCATTATACTACAGGCCATTGTCACTGACTTGCATAGTACAATATGAACAATCAGAAGACTGGTGGAGCACTTGAAAAGGAGATGGGTCATATATAACAAAAAGCACAGTTATAGATATGGTAAATCCTGTCGCACAGACCTTCTTGGGTTCTGCGACAAAGTAATAGAAGTCAGGCAAGAGAGAGAGAGAGAGAGAGAGAGGAGGAATGGACTGCAGTGGATCAACGAATACTAAATAGGAAGACATCAAAGAGTGATTTACCGAGAAGAGGTGTCAGAATGGGCAAATATTATAAGTGAGGTTCCACTAGGGATCCGTACTGGGACCTGCATTATTTCCGGCAGACGTGAATGACAAGTAGGAACGAAAACAGAACGATGTAACCCTGCTCGTGGATGATGTGAAACTAATGAGAAAATAAAAGACAGGACAGGACGAGGAAAGCCTGTAAACACACCTGGACAAGCTGCAGGATTTGTCTCATAATTAATTATTGTAATTCAACCAGCAAATAAAAGGACCAAGAACGGATTACATATTCGGGGGACAAAGGCTGCAAACCTCTCTCTCTCTCTCTCTCTTAATACTACTGATTGCGAAAAGGATTTAGGAGTTCTGGTTAGCAGTAATCTGAAACCAAGGCAACAGTGCATAAGTGGTCGCAATAAAGCTAACAGATTCCTTGGCTTCGTATCAAGAAGTATAAATAATAGAAGTCCTCAGGCTGTTCTTCAACTCTATATATCCTTGGTAAGGCTCATTTAGATTATGCTGCACAGTTCTGGTCACCGTATTACAGAATGGATATAAATGCTCTGGAAAACGTACAGAGGAGGATGACAAAGTTGATCCCATGTATCAGAAATCTGTCCTATGAGGATAGACTGAGAACCCTGAATCTGCACTCTCTAGAAAGGTGTAGAATTAGGGGGGATATGATTGAGGTGTATAAATGGAAAACAGGAATAAACAAAGGGGATGTAAATAGCGTGCTGAAAATATCTAGCCAAAACAGGACTCGTAGCAATGGTTTTAAGTTGGAAAAAATCAGATTCAGAAAATATATAGGAAAGCACTGGTTTGGTAATAGAGTTGTGGATGAGTGGAACAAACTCCTGAGTACCGTCATAAAAGCTAAGACCTTGTGTAGTTTTAAAAATAGGTTGGATAAATACATGAGTGGGTGTGGGTGGGTGTGAGTTGGACCTGACTAGCTTGTGCTACCAGGTCCGATGCCGTGCTCCTTCCTTAAGTGGAGGTGACCTGACTAGGTGGTCATTGTTCTAGCCGGGGAGTGGCATGGACCTGCTTCGCATGGCCTGTTGCAGTGTTCCTCCATTCTTATGTTCTCTCTCTTTCTCTCTCTCTCTCTCTCTCTCTCTCTCTCTCTCTCTCCTCTCTCTCTCTCTCTCTCTCTCTCTCTCTCTCTCTCTTTCTCTCTCTCACACACACACTGGCAACCCATGCTTGAGTCTCCGTCATTTCCACACTATTAGCTTGACTCCGTTCACAGTTTAATGGCTTGGAAACAGGTCATTAAGTTCATCAGAGATATAAGAAAAAACGCAATGGTGCAATAACGTAAGCAATAAATCATAGGCTCCTCAGATGAGCTTGTTTATGAATCAATACCAGGACATGGAAATGTGACTCCTGGTGTTCTGGACCAACAGAAACACACTTGTCACGGTCATCTCTTGTTGTCACAGTCAGCACTTGTTGTTATGGTTAACTACTGCTGTCAAGGAGAACTATTGTTGTAATAAAGTTGGTAGAATTGCCGACAATATGTAAAGTAAAAGGACACATGTGCAACTAATGTGACGTTTTATTGTGGCAACGTTTCGCTCTCCAGGAGCTTTATCAATGGCTTGATAAAGCTCCTGGAAAGCGAAACGTTGCCACAATAAAATGTCACATTAGTTGCACTTGTGTCCTTTTACTTTACAGAACTATTGTTGTCACGGTGAGAGTCTCTCCGGGTTTAACGTTACGTTAGACAGAGTGCATAATTAATTCACACATATTTTAGTAATAGTAATAGCTGTATTGCTATTATTATTATTATTATTATTGTTATTATTATTATTATTATTGTTGTTGTTGTTGTTGTTGTTGTTGTTGTTGTTGTTGTTGTTGTTGTTGTTGTTGTTGTTTATTATTATTATTATTATTATTATTATCTTAGAACCAATGTCATTTACATAATATTCTTAATACATTTACAATAACTGCTTCTCTCCGTGTTATTGCTATTACACATAAAATTAATATTGTAATAATTCATAAATATTTACAGCAGCATTAAAATATCTCAAAAAAAAAAATGTACTCTTCTTACAGGAGTCAGCGACGGTGAGAGAGAGGAAGAGGGAGAGAAAGAAAAGGAGCTGGTGGTGGGGGTGAGGGAGAAGGAGGGAGAAGGTAGAGAGGACCATCTCCACCACAACTATGGTCCTCACCTTCACTGTGTGAGTTTCTGGCCCTCTGTGTACTCGCCCAGTTATGTGTGTTGTATATGTGAATGACGTGCCCGTAAAGACAGTAAGATCCCTCCTCGTAGATGATATAAAATTAATGACGAAAATATGAGCCGATGAGGACAAGCAAAATTACAAATGGATCTGAGTAAACTGGAAAATTGGGGTTGAACCCTAATTCTTGAATTAACAGGTGCTCCTTACTCCCTGCTATTTCTCTTCATTCTTAATGTATTTTTTTACTGCCCTCACATCTATGGATATTTTTTTGTCTCTTTGGACAACTTATAACTTCCAGTTTTCTTTTGTGTGTGCATTTATGTACATTGCATATGTTCAATTATATATATCAGTCACCCATTTCATTTTGCGAGGGGGACGGACTTGGCTCTGGGTCCGTCTTCGTAACCATCAACTGGCTGGTGGGTGACAGCCCTATCATTTCTATGTCAAACCTCTGTATGGAGTTCGATTTTAGCATGTTATTGTACTGTTCACTCCCCCCTCGACATTTCCATGTTAAGTGTTTTTACGATACCCGTGAGTCATTCATTTGTGCAGTCTCCAGCTCTGCTCTCCAGTTCTCGCTTCATCCCTGGCTAGGAGTCGATCCCTGTCTACTCCTTTCATGTCTTAGAGCACCGTACACATCACGATCACATTCCTTCCCATTCTTAGAATACAGAATATCTACCTCCCACTTTCTCCTTTCCACAGATGATCCCTCTAAGCTTTCCCTAGCTTCGTACACACAGGCACCGCACACTCAAGAATGATACTCACGTACGAAGGCAATAATGCTTTGGTCATGTCCCCCATCCAGGTTACTAAGTGCCACTCCCATGTTGATGCCACTACGTTTATATGTGCTTCAGAAGACATGTACAGAGCAATGATCACTCCCAGGTCTCTCTCCACAGCTGCTTCCTGGTTTGTTTTTCCATATGGCACTATGTCTTTCATCTCCCCTCTCTGGCTTTTAACATTAAAACGTTACTCCGATGGAAAAAAAAAATATTCAATAGACCATTCCTGAAATCCATTGAAACCAGAAAACTATCCAACTCTTCTGCTGTTCAGGTATTGCCTTATCCAGGCCAACACCTTCCCGACACCCAGGCTGACTACATACTCCCATACAGCCTTCCATAGCACCCTAACAAAAGCATTCACACACATGAAGAACACGCTGTTCGATCATTGCTACATCACTCTCATCTAACCCCATGCCAGTCCATCACATAGCTGTACAGAGTCTGCAAGGTACAGTACTTATTTACGAATCCATGCTGGAACCACTTGCCTTCCCTCCAGATAATCAACGAATTTTTTCCCCTCAGTGCCTTAAGCAACTTGCACACTACACTCGCTATTGACACCAGTCTGCAAGCCAGGCACCCCTGCCCATGTGCTTCCCTTCAAGACTGGCATCTCGTATGTCACCCTCCAGTCGTCTGGCACTCCACCCGTGTAATTACCTCTTTGTGAATACAGGAGAAGAGCTATGTTCCTGGATTCCAGCCATCAGTATTTATGTCAAATATTTTATAACTTCTAGCGACTGTAGCTTTACTTTCTCCTACCGAAACCCATATTATTATTATTATTATTATTATTATTATTATTATTATTATTATTATTATTATTATTATTATTATTATTATTATTATTATTATTATTATTATTATTATTATTATTATTAAAGTACTGTGTGTGTAATCATTTTATCAGTATTCACCTTCTTGTGGTTACATGGGTCGAGTCTACAGCTCCGGCCTGACTCTTAAGGGGCACCTAAGTTCACCTGTCTTCTAATAACATGTTCATTTTTTCCACTATAATCTACCTTACCCATAATTTCTATCGCATTTGCAGATCTCTGCAACACAATTGTCCTCAAAGATTTGTTAAGTTATACCATGAATTAAGTAAAGATCCTGGACTTCACCTTACGAAACAGACAAAGCAAATGCGACAGTAATTAAGGACAAGGTAGATTATAGTGGAAAAATGAACATGTTATTACAAAACAGGGAAACTTACGTGCCTCTTAACTGGCTGTTACCGGGTTCACTCTTAGCCTTGCCATGCCTATCACACCTCTTCTTAAAGTTATGTAAAAAGCCTGCATCCAACATCTCTTTCTCATGATCATTCTACATCCTGACCATCCTGAGGCTGAGAAAATGCTTTCTCACATCCCTGTAACTCAGCTGTCACTTTAAATTTCTGTTGTCCCATCACGTACCTGCTTATCGTCTCTTGAACTGTCTATACCTGGCTACACTATTGATTTATCTGAGTATTTTGTACGTCATTATCATGTCCCCCCCTGTTTCTTCTAACTTTTAATGTAGATAGCTAAAGCTCCTCTAGTCTCTCCTATCAGTTCATTTTTCTCGTTCAGGGACTAGTTGTGTTGCGAACCTTTGCACTTTCTCCACACACAAAAAAAATTCTATATATTCTTTAAAACGAATTCATTCACATTAAAAAATAAACAATAAACTACGCAATTCGAAAATATTAATATTAAATAAACTAACCAACTTTATTACCACGAAACAAAAATGCAATGCATGAAGTATTAAAATTAAAGCGTGAACAAGTGAACAAATTTGTTACCCAGTTGTTCATTTATGGCCTCAGTTGAACAAAAGTGGCCAGCAACAGCTCGGATGGCCAGATACTTCCACGCGATCAGTGGACGGAGGATTGAGCCTCCACCACCCAGTAACGCTACATGACCCACACGGGTTCAGTCTTTCATCAAATACATCATAAGTTGAGCAATTCCGTCACATGTACAAGTGTTTATGCATTAATTTTTAATATTTTATGCGCCAGTGTAGTGTTTTATGGTAATATAGTTTGATCACAGTGGGACCTGTGTTACCCTTCCCATGTTGTGTTTGATCACAGTGGGACCTGTGTTACCCTTCCCATGTTGTGTTTGGTCACAGTGGGACCCGTGTTACCCTTCCCATGTTGTGTTTGGTCACAGTGGGACCCGTGTTACCCTTCCCATGTTGTGTTTGATCACAGTGGGACCCGTGTTACCCTTCCCATGTTGTGTTTGATCACAGTGGGACCCGTGTTACCCTTCCCATGTTGTGTTTGATCACAGTGGGACCCGTGTTACCCTTCCCATGTTGTGTTTGGTCACAGTGGGACCCGTGTTACCCTTCCCATGTTGTGTTTGGTCAAAGTGGGACCCGTGTTACCCTTCCCATGTTGTGTTTGATTACAGTGGGACCCGTGTTACAATTCCCATGTTGTGTTTGATCACACTGGGACCCGTGTTACCCTTCCCATGTTGTGTTTGATCACAGTGGGACCCGTGTTACCCTTCCCATGTTGTGTTTGATCACAGTGGGACCTGTGTTACCCTTCCCATGTTGTGTTTGGTCACAGTGGGACCTGTGTTACCCTTCCCATGTTGTGTTTGATCACACTGGGACCCGTGTTACCCCTCCCATGTTGTGTTTGGTCACAGTGGGACCCGTGTTACCCTTCCCATGTTGTGTTTGATCACACTGGGACCCGTGTTACCCTTCCCATGTTGTGTTTGATCACAGTGGGACCCGTGTTACCCTTCCCATGTTGTGTTTGATCACAGTGGGACCTGTGTTACCCTTCCCATGTTGTGTTTGGTCACAGTGGGACCTGTGTTACCCTTCCCATGTTGTGTTTGATCACACTGGGACCTGTGTTACCCTTCCCATGTTGTGTTTGATCACACTGGGACCTGTGTTACCCTTCCCATGTTGTGTTTGATCACACTGGGACCTGTGTTACCCTTCCCATGTTGTGTTTGGTCAAAGTGGGACCCGTGTTACCCTTCCCATGTTGTGTTTGATCACACTGGGACCTGTGTTACCCTTCCCATGTTGTGCTTGATCACAGTGGGACCCGTGTTACCCTTCCCATGTTGTGTTTGGTCACAGTGGGACCCGTGTTACCCTTCCCATGTTGTGTTTGATCACACTGGTACCTGTGTTACCCTTCCCATGTTGTGTTTGGTCACAGTGGGACCCGTGTTACCCTTCCCATGTTGTGTTTGATCACAGTGGGACCCGTGTTACCCTTCCCATGTTGTGTTTGATCACAGTGGGACCTGTGTTACCCTTCCCATGTTGTGTTTGGTCACAGTGGGACCCGTGTTACCCTTCCCATGTTGTGTTTGATCACAGTGGGACCCGTGTTACCCTTCCCATGTTGTGTTTGGTCACAGTGGGACCCGTGTTGCCCTTCCCATGTTGTGTTTGATCACAGTGGGACCCGTGTTACCCTTCCCATGTTGTGTTTGATCACAGTGGGACCTGTGTTACCCTTCCCATGTTGTGTTTGGTCACAGTGGGACCCGTGTTACCCTTCCCATGTTGTGTTTGGTCACAGTGGGACCCGTGTTACCCTTCCCATGTTGTGTTTGATCACACTGGGACCTGTGTTACCCTTCCCATGTTGTGTTTGATCACAGTGGGACCCGTGTTACCCTTCCCATGTTGTGTTTGATCACAGTGGGACCTGTGTTACCCTTCCCATGTTGTGTTTGGTCACAGTGGGACCCGTGTTACCCTTCCCATGTTGTGTTTGATCACAGTGGGACCCGTGTTACCCTTCCCATGTTGTGTTTGATCACAGTGGGACCCGTGTTACCCTTCCCATGTTGTGTTTGGTCACAGTGGGACCCGTGTTACCCTTCCCATGTTGTGTTTGATCACAGTCGGACCCGTGTTACCCTTCCCATGTTGTGTTTGATCACAGTGGGACCCGTGTTACCCTTCCCATGTTGTGTTTGGTCACAGTGGGACCCGTGTTACCCTTCCCATGTTGTGTTTGATCACGGTGGGACCCGTGTTACCCTTCCCATGTTGTGTTTGATCACAGTGGGACCTGTGTTACCCTTCCCATGTTGTGTTTGGTCACAGTGGGACCCGTGTTACCCTTCCCATGTTGTGTTTGATCACACTAGGACCTGTGTTACCCTTCCCATGTTGTGTTTGATCACAGTGGGACCTGTGTTACCCTTCCCATGTTGTGTTTGATCACAGTGGGACCCGTGTTACCCTTCCCATGTTGTGTTTGGTCACAGTGGGACCCGTGTTACCCTTCCCATGTTGTGTTTGGTCACAGTGGGTCCCGTGTTGCCCTTCCCATGTTGTGTTTGGTCACAGTGGGACCCGTGTTACTCTTCCCATGTTGTGTTTGGTCACAGTGGGACCCGTGTTACCCTTCCCATGTTGTGTTTGATCACAGTGGGACCCGTGCTACCCTTCCCATGTTGTGTTTGATCACAGTGGGACCCGTGCTACCCTTCCCATGTTGTGTTTGATCACAGTGGGACCCGTGCTACCCTTCCCATGTTGTGTTTGGTCACAGTGGGACCCGTGTTACCCTTCCCATGTTGTGTTTAATCACAGTGGGACCCGAGCTACCCTTCCCATGTTGTGTTTGATCACAGTGGGACCCGTGTTACCCTTCCCATGTTGTGTTTGATCACACTGGGACCCGAGCTACCCTTCCCATGTTGTGTTTGATCACACTGGGACCCGAGCTACCCTTCCAATGTTGTATTTGATCACAGTGGGACCCGAGCTACCCTTCCAATGTTGTGTTAGACCACCATGGGGCCCGTACTAACCTTCCCATGTCGGGTTTGACCACACTGGGCCCCTACTAACCTTACTGTGTTGTATAGAAACACATCTAGTTGCTATGAGCCCAGCGTGACAAGGTGGGTAACACAATAGTCTGCTAGTTCTAGCACTGGCTTGCCGTGGGTTCGTACCCTCCATGGGTTGAATGGCTTACACTCGAGTCATTAAGATTTATCGAGTCGCTCTTGGTTACTTTAGTCACTATTACAATACTGTTAATATGGAAGCTGTGTATCTCATTATGACAGACTTTCTTTTGTTTACAACACTCACGTGTTTGCATCAAGCAATTTGTTTGTTTGGTAATTGTTTTTAACACGTCAGATATTTTCCACCGATGTAAGGTGACTCATAAAAAATAAGGAAACACATAAACCATAATTTTTTCAGGCGCTGTCTCTATAACATTGATGAATGTCTGGAATAATAAAATATATTTAGTTGGATTAGGCTAAATTAAATTGTGCTTGTTATAATAAGGTTAGGTAAGTTTTCTAAGGTTCTTTTGGTAGAAATTATTAATTTTTACATTAACATAAATGAAAAAATATGTTTTTCAACATATAAGAGAAAATTTTAGAAAGTACTTAATTTTAAATGAGTTCTCGCTAATTGACCAATTTTACCTATTCAGAAATTGCTGTGGTTCCAGGGAATGCTGACGATGCAGGAAGAGTCGAGCACTCTCCCGCGGGGCGCCACCATCAGCAACTCAAGCAGTAAGGATCCACCTGCTGGAGTACAGCAAACCAACGTCGGGGCTTCCTCCTCCAGCGTTGGGGCCTCCTCCTCCAGTGCTGGCGGCTTCTCCTCCAGCGCTGGCGGCTCCTCCACCAACGCTGGTGACTCTTCTTCCAGCGTTGGTGGCCCCTCCTCCAGTTCTGGTGATCCCTCCCCTAGCACCTGTTACGGCGTCCAGGGTCACCATCCCGAGAAAGATGCCTCTCTAGAGGGGTGTTCGAGTACCCAGGGTAGAACTGACCGGCTCTCCCTTGCCCCTGGTGGTACCAGGACACAACTGGTTACCTGTGGGTCAAGAAGCACTCAGGAGAGCTCTGTCTAGTGCGTGTACTCACCTATTTGTGGTTGCAGGAGTCGAGTCTTAGCTCCTAGCGTGTGTGTGTGTGTGTGTGTGTGTGTGTGTAAACGCCTAATATACCTTCCGGTTAACGGAAGGGCAAGTGTGCATGTAACTTTAAGTATGTAAATGTGTGTGTGTTCATATGCACGTATAACAATACTCTATACATACGCCTGAGTATCTCTGCGAATAAGCTCCTGTATACACCTACATATTCTTCTACATAAATGATTAGATTGTCTGCCAATACGCTACACCTGCAGATGTGCTCACGTCTCAAGGACAGAGAAACTGCATGCCCCCAATACCAGACCGAACTATGATACCTCAGGGCAAGAGATGCACGTAATGTATATCTCTATAAGAGACTAGGCTACGAGGACACTCATTCTATGGATACTGTGAGACCGCGAGACCATAAAACATTCATGCTTCCCCAGACCTCTCTTCCTAAAACACTAGTTCCCTGTTCACGAGAGAAGAAATAAATCGTCTACTAAATCTGAGTTTGATCTATTAATGTGAGTGGTGATGGATTCGAACGCCGACACTCTGTTAAACAGGCAGACAGAAGAGTATTCGGATAGATCTGGTCGGAGACGTGGATTGTAAGTTGAAAAGTAGGTAGGAGGAAAGAGCATTTTTCTTTAAAACGATATTAGATGTTTGGAAACCAGACAAACGAGTCGATAAAAAGAGGATTTTTGGAGTTATTAACTGTGACATTAAGTGCCCACAACAATACCCAGCTGCGAGCAGTGAAGAAAGAACTTCTTGAAGGACGGAGGTAAACTAGAGAGGGTGCTGAGAACGCAAGGAAGAACTCAAAGCAGTGAGTCTTCCCTTGTTGAGGAAACAGAGATGGTGAAGCGTCATTTCAACCTTCAACATGGATGAGACTCCTCGAACACAGAGAACTGTTTGAAGTGTAAAGTAACTCGGTAACACAAAACAACGACACGGAACAATGAAACACTCTTCCCTTTGACGTTGCAAGCGGAAAATCAATACTGTCCTTTAATAACTGGTTGGACAAACGTTTTGCAAACATCATGCGACACAGCGGCTGGTTGTGAGCACCGGAACCATATTACTTCATGGACTATCGTGGATGACCGTGTTGACTATTAACTACTCAGACCTAGTAGTAGTAGTTGTTGTTGTATAAATTACAGTAGCGATAGTAACAGCAGCTGCAGGAGTTTTAAAAGAAGCAGTGGATATCCAGTCTCCGCTTGCACCTTATTTTTACATAATAACCATGCACGTTAAATATGCGACATGGTAGATCTCTTTATAGCACTATGTGTTCTCTCTCTCTCTCTCTCTCTCTCTCTCTCTCTCTCTCTCTCTCTCTCTCTCTCTCTCTCTCTCTCTCTCTCTCTCTCTCTCTCTCTCTCTCTCTCTCTCTCTCTCTCACTCCTTCCCTTTCAAACTCATTTTTTCTCAGGTTCAAGAAAAAAGCTCCTCAATAAACTAATTAAAACTCGTCACGTCAGGTTTTTCGACTTACTGGCAATTTCGACATCCCAAATCTTATTTTTTTTTTAGTAAAACAGTCACTTCATTGTCATCTGCTCCGAGATTTAAGATTTTAATTTCACCCATATTACATTTATATGAAGAAAATTATAAATTAATAATATTTTGGATATCTAAATATTTTCATCGTTCGCTCCTGCCTTATTAATTAGCAATATTTATTATATTTTCATAATTCTGCCCAATTTACCGTCACGAATATATATATATATATATATATATATATATATATATATATATATATATATATATATATATATATATATATATATATATATATATATATATATATATATATATATATATATATATATATTCGCTTCAGTGCCGGAATGGGCAGAATTTAGAATACCTTTAAAGAAGATTCAACTACATGCATGTTATTAGGAATCTCTAATGCTGTTAAGAAACTATTAAAACACGCTGAAATTTTAAAAAACTTCTGATGGAATACGTAGAAGACTTTTGAGAGCCTCTGAAGGAACACTTTGATGACCTCTGGAGGAACACTTTGATGACCTCTGGAGGAACACTTAGAAGACTCTGGTGACCTCTGGAGGAACACTTAGAAGACTCTGGTGATCTCTGGAGGAACACTTAGATGACTCTGGTGACCTCTGGAGGAACACTTAGAAGACTCTGATGATCTCTGGAGGAACACTTAGAAGACTCTGATGACCTCTGGAAGAACATTTAGAACACTATGATGGCCTCTGGAGGAACAAGCTTAGAAGACTCTGATGACCTCTTTAGGAACACTTATGATGACCTCTGGAGGAACACTTATAAGACTTTGAGAGGTTTGGAAGGAACTCTTAGAAAACTTTGAGGATCTCTTAGAAGGCTCCGAGGACCCCTGAAGAAATGCTTAGAAAGCTCTGAGGAAATCCAAAGGAGTGCTTAGAAGACTCTGAGAACCTTGATACATACAAAGGAGTCTTTGAAGGAACACTTTATATACATTTCAAAAAATTCAACACTATTTTCCAGTAATCTCGCGAGCGTGGTCGCAGCTTCTCTCTTCCACTGAGAAATAAAAAATATGCATAAAGAGAATAAGAGGCTTAAAAAACGGGAAGCACAGCGGAAGGAATAAGACGCACTTGCACAAGGGAAGAGGTGGGGAAGATTAGACAAAGACTGGAAAGAGAAAAAGTGTTCTCTGAAAGGACATTGTTAAAGGAAAACAAAAGAGCTCTTCTTGCAGGGTTAAGTGGAGCATGGTTAGCTTGGAGCCCACATGAGCACGAGTGAGCTGGGAACCCACATGAATTCTGGAAACTGGATGTGGCTACACGGCTTCTTGGCGAACCAGGAGAGACCCCATGATGTTGAAGTTATGTGTCTTCGGTCCAACGAGATAACCTGGTGAACCATGAAATGCTTCGGTCCAGCGAGACAGCAACTTGATGGACCATGAATTGCATCGGTACAGTAGGACAACTTGGTGGACCATAAACCGCTGCGAATCTCATTGTTATGACGCAAATACACAACTTTCTGAATACTGATGAACCTATGAAATTGAATTTCCAGTTGAAAATTATGCGTGGGAAACTAAGAAATCAAATCCTGGTTTCTTGGTACGTAGAATTGGAAATACCCTCCCCTTCCTCGGATTAAACCCGATTACCTTCCATTCCCATAGTGAGTACACAGAATCCAACAGGGACTTTCTAAACATCTGAAAACAACTATTAATATGTTCATAGATTTTTCTTTTTACATTTCTTCATATGTCTTGGTTCATTTATGATGTTTATAAGATGTTTTAATAGAGGGTAAACAGGACTTTCTTTGATAAAAAAAGAGAATAATAAATTGTTAGAATGTATTATAATGGAGCTAGTATTTGTCTTTGATAAATACGTCTACGTAATTCATTTATTTTAATAATTGTTTACCCTCACATCCTTCCCTGCCCTGCAGCGCTGTATTGCCCTTGTGGTTTAGCGCTTCTTTTTTATAATAATAATAATAATGATAATAATTAATACTTGTTTAAAAGTTTAAATGATATTTGATGTTCAAGAGCAAAAAGTCACTATACTGTGGCTGGAACAATTCACCCAAACCTTTTACTTAGACGACGAACCTCTTTTGAGGACGTTTGTGTCCATTCCAGACCAGGTGTGTCCTGACAGTCGTCCAGGACGGGCCATGAGGTTCCTTTCCTAAGTTAGGATTTTGGGTGGATGTTACATAGTCCTGAAAATATTTGATTATTTTTACAGACTATAGAGGATTTCATTTTTATTATTCCCCTTGGATGATCCTGTTGTATTTGCATATACAAAAAAGTAAAAGTAACGACTTTCACACTAATTTTTTTTTTGGTACTATTCAAGGGAGGGGGGGGGTAAGTTCTTGATTCAGATGAAGGGGTCTTGATCACTGCACTTAGATATACCCTTCCCTTCCCTTCAGTAAATATGATTGTATCCCAATCTCCACGCGCTTTGTGACCCCTGTGGGTTTAGCGCTTCTCTATGAATCTAATAAAATAATATTAAGATATATTTTTTCAATGTACTCTTATTTCTGTTACGTTACACAGACTCTGTGTGTGAATATATATATATATATATAT